TAACATTTTTTATTTATTTTTGGGACAGAGAGAGACAGAGCATGAACGGGGGAGGGGCAGAGAGAGAGGGAGACACAGAATCCGAAACAGGCTCCAGGCTCCAAGCCATCAGCCCAGAGCCTGACGCGGGGCTCGAACTCACGGACCGCGAGATCGTGACCTGGCTGAAGTCGGACGCTTAACCGACTGCGCCACCCAGGCGCCCCTAGAGTAGTGGTTTTCAAACCTGCTCTCCATAAGCTGGTTTGGATCTCGGTCCCAGGGCAGTTCCATTCCATGAACGTGTCCAGTCCTGGTTTCCGGGACCCCACTGCATAGTCTCCCCTCAGCCCTGCTTGTCCAACACAAGGGCTTACACAAGGAAAAACAAAGATAAGCTGAAGGGGTGAGCAGAAGCATTTAGTGACAGGAGCATATAGAGAAAAGGTTTTTATTATGACTTCTGGTAACTAGCCCCCCAAATCCTGCCTGTCCTCTACAAGACTGAACTCAAAGAAGAGTGTGTAGTATCTTTTCTGGAAGAGAAAAGCAGGATTCAGCTGAAGAGGAGGAAATAAGTTTTTTTTTTTTAAGTACTTAGTTATATTTTGTTTAAATGTATTTATTTAAATCATTCTTGACACTGTATGATTACAGATGAAAAATTACGTGCTGAAGACTTTCGAAGTTAAGTGTTTTTTTAAAAAAAACATGTTTTTGGACTGGTGTTCTAGAGCAGGGGTCAGCAAACTTTTTTTGCAAAGGGTCAGGTAGCAGATTGTTTTAGGCTCAGTGGGCTGTCGCAACCATTCAGATCTGCCGTTGTAACTCACCAGCAGCTTTAGAGAGTATCTAAGTGAATGGGACATATTCCAATAAAACTCTATTTACACAAACAGGCAGTGGGCCAGACTTGGCCTGAGTCACAGTTTGTCAACCCCTGTTAGATAAACTGAGATTCAATTAAACATGAGTATGGGAATTATTGAGGCCATGAAGTCATAAATCAAGTGCGACAATCCACTTGTGGTGGCTCTTCCACGCTGCACATACCAAAACTTGAAGTAAACCATTTTGCAAGTCCAAGCCTGAAAGTCTATAACTCCAATTCCTCATGAAAAAAGTCAGGGCTCCATGAGGATGTAGGAAACCCACCCTCCGACAATAAAGCTTGGTTTCTTGACCTTTCAGATCAAGAGTATACGAAATTAGATGTTCACTGGAGTAAAGCATCTCATAGACAAGTAGCCTTGAAATTGCTTCCCCAGTGCTCTCTTGGATTACTTCTGCCACATTTTCGGCAATTCTGTTGTGTAAAAATATGTTGAGGTTGTTAGCATTGGAATAGATGTGCACACACGCGTAGTCTCCCCTGTGCGGGGAGACTGCGGATCAGGATGGTTCACTGAGGAAGATGAGGGAGGCTCAACAGGTCCGAATAGCAAAACCAAGAGCTGTGCCTTCGGTTTTGTTGGACCTTTTCTTGAGAAACCCTGTCGGCCTCCTTCATTCTCATTGTCAGGTGTGATTTGCCTCACGGCGGTCTCTTGGCATATTCCCTCCTATAGCGGGAAATTGCCAGTTTATCTGCAGAGGTGCAAAGGTCCAGGTCAAGCCTGCCTGCATAGCCTACTCCACATACAAAGGTGGTGCATCCAATGGGGCCGTCATGCATTATGTATGGAGAAGCTTGGTGCCTCTCCCCTCCCAAAGTGCCTGGGGCTTGAGGAACTGCCTCAAATTTGGGATTAGATGTTTAGGTGTGAAAATGTAATGGAAGGGTTTTCATTCCTTCCCGTGTCTGAGGAAAGATCATGGGTTCCCAGACAGGCCCCATATTCTTAAATTCCTCTGTTTGAGCTAATTATTAGAACTTGATTTCCATAACTTGAAACACAAGGGTTATAAATAATCATGTGTAAATGTGCTGACTGTGTATTGAGAGCTTCAGGCTGGTGTGTGTACGGGATGGCAGGATGATTCCAGATGGGGAGGGAGGGCAAGGCCACCAGCTGGGGCAGCTGAGACTGTAGAGAGTTGTGGAATACCCCAGAAGCTTTAAGGTTAAGAGATGGTTGCAGAAGCCAGGCCAGGCCAATGATGAGCTGAGGGATCATAGTCTGTAGAAGTGACTCCTGAGGGGTGAAAGGTAGAGGAAAAGGAGGAGTGATGGCTTGGTTCCTCATCTGAACTGCTGAGGGAGGTGGGGACTCCACGGACATCAGCAGCGGCCACAAGCCAAAGGACTTATACGAGGAACCACGTGAGACAAAGAGTGTCGGGCCCGGAAGAGAGGACTTAAAGAGCGAGGAAGTTTCTGGAACATACTGTATAGGCAACCAAACCAAGTGGGTAACAGGAGACCATCTTTCCATTTTACCTCAGTTGTGTGTAGCTAAGGATTTTACCTCATAGCGTAGGGGAGTTTAACTGTATACCTAAGCAGTCGCCAGGGAGAGGAAAGAACGTAGCCACGAAAGGCAGGACCTTCAGTGTCGGGAGGATAGAGTCTTTGAGAAGTCCCCTTCTTCCATGTTATCCCAGAAGGTGACAGGGAAAAGACATGTCTGACACAAACCCAACTTTGCCCGTGCCCCCCAGGTCTGTGAGGGTAGGGGTTGTGGTAGGCAGTAGAGGCAGCCCCCCACTCTGCCTCACACCTGCCGGGTCTTCCTGGAGCAATGAGACCTGTGCTGCTCAGGACAGAGATCCACATGAACGGTGGCACCTGCTCTCTGCGTTCACCTCATAACTTGCCCAGCTCAGAACTGCACATTTAGTGTGTTCAGGGAAACCCAACAGAGGCCGGAATCCACACCTTCCCGAAGCTAAGTAGTCTCACTTTCACTTCTGAGGTGAACTCATGGCCCCGGGGTGCCATTTGTAGAGAATCCACATTTCCCTTCAGGGATAGTGGGGGGAAGCCTGCTCTGCGGCCATGTCCCTGGAGCCTCATCCTTTACATCTTCAGACCCGGAGGGCCCGTCTCCACTAGGACCTCCTTGGCCTCCACAGCCTGTGGAGCAAGACTGTCTGGGTTTTGAATCTCACCTTCTACATTTGTTATGAACCTTAGGCAGGGAGCTTAACGGGCCCATCAACATCTTACTTTCTTAATCTGTAAAAAAGGAATGGGAACGCTAGTTTGTTGTGAATGTTAAGCAAGGTAATACCAAAAAGGCGTAGCACAGTGTACATAGCCAAGTATTCAGTAAGGTCAGCTACTTACCGCTGGCTTTTCTGTCACAGCCCAAAGCAGGTCTGTCCCCTCTCTTGTCAAACACCTCATTGTTGCATTTTTTCAGGGCTTCCTCTTGGACCAATGCCCACTGACATCTATGTGCATCCCACCATGTGTTTCCCGAACCTTAGGACCCAGTGCCACCCATTCCAGAACATTCTACCATCATGAGTAGCCGGCTTACTTTGGACTTCATGGAGGGGGCTTTATTCGGAGTTTTTGAGGAGGGCCCTGTGCAGAATAAGAGCAAGAGTACACCCTCCCGGACTTCTCTCTCTACAAGGTGGGTTATTAGACATTTCCGGGTGTGGGGAAGACAAACACCTAAGGATTAGAAACACATTTCTCAGGTTCTCACCCAAGGGCTTCGCTCCCCCAACGCACCTTAGCAGTTTCTCCTGGATCCACAGTAATGCCCTTTGTTTTGTGATGATATCATCAGAGGCCAGGCTGGTTGAACTTATCTTTTCAAATGCTCTCCATTCCGGTTCAACTAGTCACCAAGAACCAACATTCAAAAACTGCAAAGCCGTTGTGTTCAGCCCAGAGCCTCACCCTCACCAACCCCCCCCGCCCCCACCTCCTAGAATCAGACTTCCAGAAAATGTGGTCATGCCGCTCCCCGAAAGGCCGTGCCCAGTTTGTCTCCTGTAGTGCCATAGAGGATCATTAACTTCTCTGCACTTACTCAAACTTAATTATGAAACATTGGCTGCACTTGAATGCACCTTGATCTCCTGTGGCGATTGGAGGGGGCAGGAGGGAAAGTCTGGAAGCCCCACCCTGCCCGGAGCCGGCCCAGGATCCCTGTCTTTCTCCCTCCCTTGCTATTTTGGCGAGCAGCGAGACGTTAATCTCTTCCAACTGGAGCAGCTTCACTCTGTTTTCATCCCGAGAGGAGGCCAAAAGGAGCCGACCCCAGGTTGCCATGACCTCTGCCATCACCAGCTGTGAGCCTTCGCAAGCCTTGGTGAGTGCCCCAAAAAGAGAGGGGGCAAGCTAAGGGGGAGGGGCAGAAAGGAAGAAGGAGGCCTGGAGGGGGTGTCCAGGGGGAGTCCCAGTGTCCTCAATCATTATGCCGCCTGCCCAGGACAGTGGCTCACGTCCTAGACCAGAGTTTAGATTACTAGACAGGTGTGCCGCTCCCAGCCTGGCCGTCGTGCGGCAAAGATTCCTGCCCGAGGGCTAAACTCTGTGAATAAATTCGAAAGCCACGAGGAGGAGGTGGAGGAGGTTTTACCTTTATTCACGGGTTGGTCTCTGCTGGATCTAAATGTTTTTGTTTTGCGAGGTTTCTCAGTGTTACAATTTCTTTGGACAGAAGGACTTTCTGCAACAAAGCAAGGGAAAGAGAGAGGTCAGCAGAGAGAGAGAACTAATATTTACCAAACAACCGAT